CATGCTGTTGACTTCTGTGGGCATTGGGGTATCACTAGAGACTTTGGGGATAAAGGGGGAATTGCCAGCAGATCCGGGAATGAGCACTAACAGAGGAAAACAAAATAGAGACAGATTTTTCAGCTGTGTAAGAAGAGAGGAAATATGAAAAGGCATGGATTTAACACTGAGTGAGGACAGGGGAGAGGGTGAAGGTCAGGTTACAGGCCAGCAATTGACAGTTGGATATTTTTGCCTCTTTTTTTTAGTAAGGTTTAAATACCTATTGGGAATCAAAGAATGCAAGTCACAAAGCTGGAAAAGGAATAAAACTGGGGGTTTGGTGCCTCAAGTCAAGCATAGGAAGGTGTAGGCTCAGTAGTCAGGAATTTTAATAAACTGATCAACTACAAATATGATATACACAACCTCAGAACCTCAGTGGGATGGGATTCAAATGGTATTCAAACTTAGTCTGAATTCAGTAGCGTGCAGGGCTTTTGAACTATTTCTGGCAAAGAATAGTGGAAGAACTACAGATAAGTGCAAAAATGGGATAAAACATAGAAGTTATCAAAGGGCCAGTGAGCTTTGTACCTGTGTGTTTGTTAGATAAGAGAACTTGTTTTTGTAGACAAAGGCAACGCAGTGCTTCAAATGTGGCTGGGCTCTGGTAAGGCATCAGATATGGTTCCTGTGGGAAATGGGATGTGGAGATGGGGATGTACTAATGTACAGTAACTAGATGGTTACCATGGTTACTATTACAAGGGAAGCTAACCTTATTTTTACTGAAGAATTCATCTTGGATAAGACTAGTCCTGTTAAGTGTTTGCCTGAATCTCTTCACTGAAAAATTTGCAGACCTACTGGGGCTGTTCTGATGTACAGAACAGGGAGGCACAGTTGGTGTGGAAGAAGCAGAAAGCTGATGGCACAGGAAAGGCTGACTGACCATGAGCAGTGGAGGAAGAGGAATCAATGGTGTTTAGAAGTGCAGAAACGTGCATCACACAAGGGGCTCAGTAGTTTGAAACAGTATCATGATGGTTTTTTGGCTTGAAGCCATGGGGGGTTGAAAAGCTTTGGGAATGTTGAAGTCAAATGCCTGTTTTTTCCATAGCTAAATCTAGAGACTGTAGAACTAAGTAGGCCTTTATGCTGAGTCTGAAGGAACTGCAGGAGGAAACAGGTCCTGTTCACAAAGAATGTGCCTTTCTTCAGGGTAAAATTTTATTTTTCAGCAGTGGTTAGGCTTGTTTGCTTCCTGTATTTGTTGGGACACTGACTGTCAACTTGTGGGTGTATGTGTGTAATCCCAGGTCAGAAGAACTACCGCTGTACCCTCTGTGACAAGTCCTTCACTCAGAAGGCCCACCTGGAATCGCACATGGTCATCCACACCGGGGAGAAGAACCTCAAGTGCGATTACTGCGAGAAGCTGTTCATGCGGAGGCAGGACCTCAAGCAACACGTACTCACTCACACGCAGTAAGTGATCTCACAGGGTGAGTGCAGTAAATGAAGCTGAACAGCCCAAGAGAGAACCTCCAGTTTGCAAATAGTTTGGCCTAGGGAGTACAGATCGGTTCACTCTCTAAAATGACAGAGAAGTCAGTCTGGACAAAGTCCTTGTTGTACTGGCTGCAGTTGTCCAGTTTTAATGTTTGCAGTGTTTTAATGACACAGTAAATTCCAAGCGTGCTACTTGTCTTGTGAAATGGCTGTCTGAAGTGTTCATCATTTTGAACAGAGAGGGGGTTGTTTGACTTACATTTCATTCTCTGCTGAGAACTGCTTACACATCCCAACGTGACCACAGAAAGACCATAAACTCCTCACTGCTATTCTCACCAAGTAGCTTGTTAGTGAACTCTGCCTCTCTGCACTAGGGATGGGGTGCTGCAATTCCAGCCCTTTCCTCCCTGCAGGTCTCACTCAAGCACTTGGTCTCCTGCTCCTCCTGTAGGCAGATCCCTGCCCACAGCCCTGTGCCAGGCCAGGTCTTTTGCTCTGAGAATCTCTCCATCCTGTATATTTACTCCCAGTCAAAAAAAAAAAAAAGAAAAGCCTAGTCTTAAAAACTTACTTCCCCAAAGCTAGTTCCTTTGCTTATTTCATTTTTGGCATCTGGTTTTTGTACTCACTTGGAATCCATTGCTGCTTCTGTCATGCTGCCTAGGAGACAGTGTATTGTAGTGAGCATGAGTGAGAGAGGCAGACAGACTTGCCTGGCTGCTTGTTCCTACAGCCTGAGCCAGGAGCACTACTGTTGGGAGGTATTTTGCACTGTCATCTGCAGAATTTGTTGCAGTCTGGTAAGGTCCTCAAGCTTAGCATTTATGCACTGAGGATTGTTAGCACTCAGCAACTTTGTTGTCTTATTTCTTCCCTGTGCCCCCTGCCCCCGATTTACACAGGGTGGGAAGGAGGGAGACTGACCTTTCTATCAGGGCAACATCTCTGCTCCTGCCAAAACATGGGCCTTAACCAGTATTTTAATACTATATCAGCTGCCTTGCAGGAGCAAACTCACTTTTTTATGTCTTGCAGAGAACGGCAGATCAAGTGCCCCAAGTGTGACAAGCTGTTTCTGAGGACAAATCACCTGAAGAAGCATCTCAATTCACATGAAGGAAAGAGGGACTATGTCTGTGAAAAATGTTCCAAGGCTTATTTAACCAAATATCACCTCACTCGCCACCTAAAAATATGTAAAGGCCCCACATCCAGCTTGTCAGCCCCAGAGGAGGAAGAGGAGGAGGATTCAGAAGAAGAATTAATAGACTCTATGAGGACTGAAGACTGTAGGATTAACAATGGAGTCTATTCAACAGGTGATGCCCTCTCTGGACACAAATGAAGAAGAGAGGGGCATTTTCTTGGATAAGTAGGGAAGGAAAAAACCCTCTTCCTTGTTTCCCCAGTCAACAATGTATGTCAGGTGAGGAGTTTTCCTTCTGTTTTGGTCTCCACACTACCCCCACTTAATATACTCTGTAGCCAAAACACTGAATGAGACTGGATCATATGCCTGCACAAGTGAAGAGTTGCTAAGAAGGAAATGTGAGGCAAGGACATTTTTTCACACACACTGTGCATACTTCTTTTCCAAATCACTCAGATTAATCCATCCAGTGTCGGGACACGTCACACCTTGCATAGCCCTTTAAGCAAAAAGCCACAAACCAGAAATGTAGTTGAGTGATTGCAGTGAATTGTAAGCCAACTGTCCTTACCTGCCCAAGCCATGACATGAAGAGAAACAAACAAAAAATGTATTTTGTTTTTTTGAAACCTCTCAACTGAAGGATGTGATGTGGCACAAAGCCAAGACTTAACAATGCTCAGGTTTCCTTCTTCAAACAAAACTCTTTGGTTTAAAAATAAAAAGAAAGGCCAGTGAAATCAGCCCTTGCAAACAATGCCATTACCCCACTACAGAGAATCAAAGATTGGCTTTTGGATAACAGTTATTGCCTCCTCTCCCTTGAGTTCACTAGAACGTGTAAGCAGGTGAAGAGATAAAGACTGTATAGACTCAGTAAGGACGAGGCTTACAGATGATCAGGCAGTGTTTACAGTATATATTACTCCTTGTGCTGTAAACCTTTTACCACCTAGAATGATGGGAGGGTTTGCTGCTAATATTATTTATGGAATGAAGATTATTACATTTGGTTGTTTTCTTTTGAAATAATTAAAAATGTGGCTCTTCTCAAATGTTCTTTAATATTTACATATTCTGAAAAAAAAGTTCCTATTTCTATAAATATGCTAAGAGAAATAACAACACTTTTTAATCATCTGCCTCTCACAAGCTTTCCTGGGACATGGAAGGGTAGGAGCACCTCCATGAATAGGTGCAGCTGAAGAACTGGTCTTTAAACCCTGTAGATTTACTGTGTCACTCCTCTGGCTGTGCTGCAAAAGAAGAGAGCTGAGCTCTGTGCTCTTGACAAGGTAATTGGAGGTTCCCTTGTGAAAGAGGCTCTGCTTCTTGCCCTAAATGGCCCAAGCTCAGCTGTACCTTTCTCTGTCCCCTGTATTTCCTTGAGAGCTCCCAGGGTTCTTCAAACCTGAAAATGCTTGCCCTCAGACCAGTATGCGACTAAAAAGCTCCAGAGAGAAAAGTTGTGGGATTTTGTTAAGTCAAGGGAAAGATGTGTTGCTTCCAGTAAAGCAATTTCTTCCTGAAACACAAAGCAACTTCTAGAGCTGCGGTGCCAATTATAATACTAGAGGTATAAGAGAAGTCACTACCCTCAAAGAGCTTAACACAAAGCATTTATTTCAAATTAAAGCTTTAAAAAACTTTAAGCTTTTCACTGGAGAGCACCTGAACAGAAGTGGTTCTGGTGCTTCCACACATCACTCACTACTGCTTGGCAGAGACAGGCGGGAGGCAGGAATTCCAACCCATCCAGAGTATTCCTGGTTCCTGCAGAGCCATGCTGAACACCTGTCATCAGATTAGAAACAGCTGAAGTGGATTTAGAAGCAGCCACTTACCCTCCAGGGATAGGAAGGAAAGATCTAGCCCTTTTCCCCAGCCTTTTTCCCATCTGCAGTTTGTAGTGATACAATTTACTTGCTCTACCTCACCAGAGTGAGTTACAGTGCATTAGGGTGGAAAAGAAGTGGGAAGAGCTCGTCAGCTACGAGCTGTGACAGTGCAGCTGCTTTGACACTAGTGGCTTTAATACCCAGGGCATTTTGCAGACACCTTCAGTGTGGGAAGCACTTCACAGGAGGGTAAGAGTATCATTTAACTTCTTGGCCTGGGGTAAGGCACTCGGGTGTTCCATTTTAAATGCGAGGAAATTGTTGGAGTCAAGCCTTGATTAGGTTCCTGATGCTGGAAACAAAGTTCTTAAGTTGGTGGCTCGACTGATACTCAAAACGTTCCTGTGCCTTCAGGTGTTGGGCAGAAACGCCTGGGCGGAGTGATGAACATGAGTACATAACACAGAGCTTTCACCAGAGACAGGGACCTGCTGAGATCCCAGCCCACACTGTGGGTCCTGACAGCTTCTCATCCTTTCCAAGTTGCAGCTCCTTCTTTCAGTTCAAATTCTCTTAAAATATACTGCAGTTGGAGCTTGAAGAAAAACTCAATACCTTGTGCAGCGTCAGTTGGCTTCAGGTGCTGTGGAACCAGGGAAAAGAAACACCCAATCTTGATGGATGGAACTGGGATATTTCTGGTTTGATATTGGTGAGCTGAATGTTAGAAATACATTTCAAGATTCTACTGGGGATGCCATTTTATTACCTGAGAACTACTCTGGAGATTTAAAAAGATACAGATTTTAAAATATCTTCTATGTATTAGAAATCTGTAAACCTAGCCTCAAGGATAAATTATCTATTTACACTTGCCATTTAATTCAGTTTTTGTTTATTTATTACACAAGTGTCGTGTGAAGTATTTTTTCTTGTACCCTTAGAAGGGAGAAGATCAAAACCTTTGCAGTATTTAACAAACTTCTGGTAGCCACAGAATCCTTTTCTAGTGACTGTTTCATTTTATATGTCAGCTTTACACATGGTAGCCCCCTGTTTCAGGGATCATTATCTCAGGCAAAAGCAAGTGATTTAATCTTTCGAAGCCGGTAATAGAGGCAGGAACTTAAGAGTTTAACCACACCACCACGTTTCTTTGTCCGAGATGATGAAGCCTGCAGATTGCAAGACACTAGAGCCATTTCCATGAACTCTCACCTAACAGGGGGATTTGTAGAACACACATTAGTCGTAGTCCCGTTAATTACTCCAATTTTTTGATGTTTGGTCCATCATGATTCCATTGCTGTCTCCGAGTCGTTGCTGCTCCTGCTGGCTGTGGAGCTGGAAGCCACGGAGTTGGCACTAGCCAGAACCAGTCTCTCTCTGTTTCCAAAAACTTCATTCACTGCAATACAGACAGGGGATTGCTTACATGTTACTCTCCCAGAGACGAGTACAGCAGGTATAGCATGGTGAACACCATGGAATGGAATGGAAATCCTAACCTGGTGCAGTTTCAAAGTTTTTCCCCTTGCCCTGAGTAGGGATTTGAAGGTTACATGTCAGAAAAATCATCTGCATATGATACTTTAATTACAATTCCTGTTATTTTTCCTCCAGAGCATCTAGAGGTTTCCCTCTGCATAGTTCTGTACCCAAGTACTGTGAAATGGATGAGGTTTGAAGAGCACAACATTAAGTTTAAATAATTTATTTCCAGTTTTAGTCTCTCTGGGTTTCCACCAAGCTCTTAAAAGCCTTCTCCAAAAATTCATGCCATTTAGTTACATGTAGCTACAACATGATCAACCCAGTCCTCACTTTTATTCCCACAAGTACTCAAAGAATGTGGTACCTGATTACACCAGGAACATTAAGAAAAAATAAAACAGATATAAAAAATCAGGTGTTACGCTTCAGCTACAAGAAAACAAATAATATCAAACGGTTCTTCAATTTAGAAAAAAATCCCCACTTTTTGAAGCTGAAAATGTGAACACAGAGGCAGTCATGGGGTATGTAAAAATACTAACATACAGTTTCTCTCAGAGCCACAATACATTACTGAATACAAATATATCCTGCAGGCAAGGGGAGAACCACAATATTCAAAGAAATGAGAACATTACCTGCAGAAATCTTGCTTATATCCCAAACACGCAGCCCTTCTCGCTCTCCTCCAAAGGCAAAAACAAATGGGAAGTCAGGGCAGCAAGCTGCACAGAAGAGAACACCCTGGGAGGGTGGAAGAAAGAAGAGCATTTTTTTTTAAATATCATCCTAAAATGAATTTGTCATCTGAAAATACTTTCTACCAAGCAAGTTGTAACAAATGTAATCTCTTTAAGTTTCCCGAAACTTCTTTTGTAAAGACACAAAATGAAAGTCAAGAGCTGCTAATTATAAACAGTAAATCACATCTTTGTCTTGAATGTGGCAGGTGCAGGCTGGAGCACCTATAGTTCTACTCAGAACATTGTATCTGGAATTTGGGTCTGAGGCTTTGAAGCAGTCTGCCAATTCCATGTTGAATACTGCACTGTAATGAGAATGATTTATCCAGAATATGCAGATGTTTTTTTCCCTAAAAAATGTTAGGTAAAACAAGATTCAAACCAGACAAAAAAAGAATAAGCAGACACAGTTTATATATAAAACTTACTGGAATCAAGAAATAAATATTACTATACCATTTTCATATCCCTGGAATGGACTAAACTTGGTCTGTCTCCCAGGATATCCCAAATTTTCACGTATTTGTCAGCAGATGATGTCACAAGGCACCCTTTAACCTGACTGCTTAGTTGTAGCCCTGGAAGATTAAGAGTGCAGCCATGTGAGAACCACTGTTTCACAGAGATGAGGATACATTTTGAAGTGAAGTCATGAGAACAACCTCAGTATTCTCCTCACACAAAACTCTGTTCCAGCACAGAGGAGCAAAACATTAATGAAAATTTCATCCTGCTCCCTGTAGTGAGATTAAAAGCATCGTGTAGGCCTATTTTGTCTCTCAATCCAACAACAGTAACAGTGCAAAGACATGCTTGTTCTACTTCTTACTTAACATAATCTGCTTCCCCAGGAAGCTTTCTTCATTCATTTCCCAAAGACCATCTTGCTTGCTGTCCAAGATGATGGGGCATATTCATACAATCTCATTTTAGACACCTGATCAGGAACTTCAGGTTCCTTTTTGGAAGCTCCTACACTGACCAAATTAAAGCAGCCTAAAGGAGGCAGTGTGAAAACCTTCCCGTGTGCCATACCTAAATCATCCTCAGAGTGAGTCAGTATAAAATAATTACAGAGAGAGGAGGTAAACATTATAGTTCATAATCCTAGACCAGATTCCATCGTTTTTGTATTTCCTCATCCAAAAAAAAAACCCACAAGGAGTGTGTCCCAAGTGAATTAGTCTGTTTTTACATGCTTATTCATGACAGTCACTGAGGAAAGTTCACTGTTGTTAAAATACTTTGCTTTCAATGGCTTCTCAGCAGAGATTTGTTTCACGTGCCAGCTACCATGATTAGTATGCATGATTTAATTGTTAAACAAGGAATCACTACCACCTCAGTCCTATAGGTTAAAGGCATCTTCCAGATGTGCTTTGCCACTGGGGACAAACAGGACACACAGGCAGTTTACCTGACACCTCTTCATCATGGGCTTTCAGAGTAAACAGGGGCTTATCAGACCGAGCATCCAGACAGTACACAAAACCATCCTCTGTGCTTGCCTGAGAAAACCACAACATTTAAAAAACAAACAATCATCGTCATTCATTTGGAAAAAAACTTCCTATGAAATAATACACACCCTCAAGTAAATCCCTGTGATCTGAGGCAGACACTGCTCTATAGGGCATGTTACACTGTTCCCAGGCCTGAGCCTCCAAAGTCAGACTACATCCACTTGCTGCCCAAGCCATTCTACGTACCTAAACTATGCTGCACTGAATTACATGGAAGTCTTAATCATATACAGATTTCTTGAAGTGTACTTTGAAGACAGTTGCCCTGCTAAGCTTGGCCCCCATGTCAGGCAATGAAATACAAAGCCTTTAGTCTCTTCACTGTCAGTTCAAAATTTTTGGAGCCATCCAGTGGTCCTGTGCAAAGCTAAGTGTGATTATACTGAGAGATCTACATCACAAACCCAGCAAAACTAAGCAACCACTTCTGCTGGCTGTACACACAAAGCAACAGAGAACTAGACAGCCACTGAGATGATAAAGATTTGTTTTTAAATTATGTTGAAAAGTTTTATTGTAAAAATCTTGACAAAACCAAGCTATTTATACTCCAGGTGGGGGTTGGTCTCTTCTCCCAAGCAATAGGGAGAAGTAACAAGCAATAGGATAACAGAAAATGGCATCAAGTTGCACCAGGGGGGAGGTTTAGATTGGATATTAGGAAAAACCTGCTGAAAGGGTTGTCAAGCACTGGCACAGGCTGTCCAGGTAAGTGGTGGAATTCCCACCCCTTATTTAAAAGCCATGTAGATGAGGCACTTGCAGGCATGGTTTAGTGGTGGACTTGGCAGTGCTGGGTTAATGGTTGGACTTGATCTCAGAGGTCTTCTGCGACCTAAACAAGTGGATCATTCCATACCAGCCAGGAGGACGGTGCCCTCTAGCGCTGACTTGAAACACTGAATCAACATTCGGGATCTTAGTTCTAATTAGCTACTTCTCAGTTGCAGTTGCCTCATTACATGAAACATAACAGCAAATATGCAACGAAAAATATATCCCAGCCACTGAACACTGTAACAACATGACAAAGATGCCACCTCTGGAATGCAAAAGCAGCAGCATTAGTAGCTTTTCTACTGTCACAATGAAGATACCAAATAAGTAGCTGGTCTAAATATACCTGTTGAAAAAACTACTTAAAAACATCCTCCCCTGAACTGCATTTTCATAATAAGCAGCACAAACCATACAACTGTCCATCAGCTCCATTATGATTCAGAAACATTATGAACACAAAAATACAGGTTAAAACAGCCCAAGAATAGAAGAGCATGTACTTACTAAGAAATGACAAGGTGAAAAGTGATTCCAAATTACTCTCTCAACCTGACCACTAAACCTCCACACTCGATGGTTATCTTGTGGGTTTCTGCAATCATACAGCACCGTTGATCTATGGGAAAAAGGGACAGGAAATAAAATCTAAAAAAAAAGAAAAATCAGGGCAGAACACTTCGTGACATAGTTTGCTTTACCACCGGCATCTGAAGAAGCTCCATGTAAACTATAATTAAAATGGAAACAACTTCACTACTTAGTCTTTCAATTCAATAACAGATTAAAATCTCGCAGATAAGCACAAGCTTTTTTCATGTGCTTCAAAGTTTCATCTTGGTTATGAACAGCCGTTCTATTGACACTAAGCAAACAGAGCTTGAATTTACTCAATACATAAGATACTTATCACACAGGAGACCATAATTATGCAAATATATCACTTAATTATGAACAGACTTCAGTAAAGTCAAGTAATGATGTACTAATTAGGAAATCATTTTGTGATACATATTAACACATTTTCAAACATGCTTTAATAAAAAGAAATTAAAAAAAATAAAAATCAATCTTTACAAGTAGTTAGAGAAACACTACTCCAAAAAGGAGAGAGTAGATGGAAGTTAGAGGATCCTCTGGGATTCTTTACAGACATGTGCTCAGCCCAGTGGCTGCAGAATCTGTCCCAACTCACAAAGCTCCTGGGTGCAAATGCAAGGGAGGAGTGGTCATGTCACTGCAGTGACATCTCACTGCAATCAACATCCACAGTGTAACCCACTCCCACCTTATCCTATAATTAAAGCAAAAGAAATGTGATCTGGGTTTCCCAGCTCTTTCACCAGGCATTTTACACAACAGCTTTTCAACAGTCTGATTTTCAGGCTATGAAGGCATCTGCCAATATTCACTGAATAGCCTGTGGTCCTGGCAAGGCTCTGCAGGAAAAATCCACAAAGGCAGTCTACTGTTTTACAGAGGTCCATGGTATCAAAGGGATAGCTAAAGAGGGATTGACTAGCTGGTCTCAACGTTTGGACTTTATGCTTCCTTTTATCAAAGGAAGTCGAGGGGAAGGAAATAGACAGACGCAGCTTCCTAACAGCAGCAAAAGGTTTTTCTCCAATACTTTCACTTAAGCAGATGTAGCAAGAGCGTAACAGAAGCCAGAGAAGACCAAGGCTTGGCTAAAGATTGACAAGTCTATAAATATTTTAACACAAGGACAAAGTCTTAAAAGCAGAATAAAAATTTCAACGTAAGAAAATCATGGTTATAGAACAAAATTAAAAGTTACCGCATTGAGACGGGAGAACAGAGAGGAAGTTTTTTGGCTGGCAGGGCTTATAAGAACTGGCACTTACAGAGCTAGTCCAAGTTTGCAGACACAAACCTTTTCTGAGCATATCCAGGCTGCAATCAGAGGAGACAGCCCTTTACACTTTGGCTATGGCATGGCTAGAGAGGCTGTAGGGAGTGGTCTGGGATTTTAAAGTCCCTCATGCCCCCAACCCTGGCCTTACAGGTTGGCAAAACCTGGGCAAGTTTTCACAGGAATAATAAGTGACACAGTTCTAATGCAGAAAATCCCATAAGGACAAATGAAGAAATAAGTTCAGTTTGGAACAGACAACTGGCACAGAAAATGTCAGTCCAGATGGTTAAAGCATTTGGCTACCTCCAAAAAAGAAGTAAGGAAAACTACATTTTGGCCACATACAAACCTGGCTAGCTTGCTGGAAAAAAATAACAGCATTACTCAAATTGGCAGAGTTATAAAAAAATGAAAAAGAAAACACAAGACAACCTAATGGGCTTAACTGAATACTAATACCCTCCCTATGTGCAACATTTGAAAACATTACCCTGACATACTTATCGAACGATCCAGAAATAAGGGTCTGAGTTTCAAACGGATGAAACTGCAATGTCTGCACCTGGATAATGGAAGATTTTATATAACACACATACACAGGAACTTTCTTGGAACAAAGCACAACCACCCCTTCCCAAGCCAGCACATTTTCCCCCCCAAAAACCATCCTAATGAGCTTGTTGATACTCTAATTGCTTATAAAATAGTGCAAGAGATGCACATTGCTTCAAACACCCCCACCTGGTGGAAACAAGATATTTTCCAATATAACTTAACTGAACAGGACCCCCTGCCCCTTTTCTGCCCTAGATTAAAAAAAAAAAAAGCTAGAGGAGGTAAAATAATATCTGCTTCCAGTTTGGGGAGAAAAAGCAGATGTTAACAAAAAATGAAAATCAGGAGTTTGTCAAGGGCAGTGACTTTGTTAGAAGCAAAATAAGGTTACAACTCTTAATAGCTAGCCTTCACATTTTAATTACTATGAGGTTAATTAATTTCTGACGTACCCGTCATTATGGTATTTTAGTATCATTTATTTTAAACCTTTTTCACCTAGAACAAACTGTAACTGACACTCATTGTTCCCTTAAGAGAGAGTTCCAGTTTGACCTATGCTCAGACATCTATTTTTGTAGCTTATATCTGCATTATTAGATTCTCCATCATTAGGCCCTTCAGAAAAAGGCATTTTAAAAACTGCTGTAAATCTTTGCTAACTTTCTAAAGGATAAGTTAGATAACATTCTAAAAAGCAAATGCAGTGTTGTTTACAAAAGCAACTAATTAAGAAATTTAGACAATTCTGCACAGTTGTTAGAAAATTACAGAATTGTTGTTCTGAGGGTTCAGGACCCAGCAGTTAATGAAAAACTGCAGTTCTTTTTTTTCTCTGTATTTTACCATGGAAGAAACATAGCAATTATTACATACCTTGTCTGTATGTAGCGTCAGGCTGGCTGCTGGCTTACCCACAGACATATCCCACAGAATCACAGTATTGTCAGCAGATGCACTTGCTAAAACATTCCTGATAATGGACCAAAAAATCAGTTTTAAAAGTCTTTATACAAACAAAGAATGGTGAAAAATCCAAAATACATACAGAGCCCAATTCTGAGAACAAGTACACTCTGGTCTATAGACTATGTCTCTCAAGCCTGAGGATTAACTTCTGGAAGGCAATTATAAGTTACAAGTAAAGACTACAAATAGGCTATATTACATTACATTAGTAGAACACTTATAACAACAACAACAGTTCTGCTTGTAATTCCCCCTGACATCACTTAAAATATCATCTACTCAAAGATTTCTCAGAAAACCCCAAAGTAATAAAGGCTTCTAGGCACTTTCTTTCCTTTGACATTAAATAGTATTTTATTACCTATGCAAAACTTAGTTTTATTTGTATGTGCATACAGCCAAGAGCCAGACAAACCTGTTTTTAAAGTATTTTGCTAATATCTGACTGTTTATATAACCACTGAAGACCCAACACAGTACATCCTTCATAGACTGCTGAAAGTAATCACTAAAATTTCAGTTAGTTTACAGACCCCACATTTCAACTTGAATTCGATCAATTGTGTTAAGAGCTATAAACACAGTTTAAAAGTTTAATCAGAAAAAAAATCAAAACATTCCCAAAAGCCTGTCAAACACACAGTATAATATCTACCATTGCTTCATTGCTCTTAAAATCAGATCTAATACCTCAACATGTTGCTTCTGATTGAAACTGCTTCTCCCTGCACTTTTTATATTAACCAAGTGTTTCTGACTGAAAGAGTTAATATTCTCCTGGAAGCGCTGTTTTCCCAAGCAATGTTACAAGGAAAAGTTAAGAAAATGCACAGTGAAGGCTGTAAGAACATTTTACAGTAACACCATTGTGACCTACAGGCAGAAAGTTATTTGTAGAGAGCTGTCACAACATGTCTTGCTTAAAAGAAAGAAACAACAAAAAACACATTTGAAATATAAGCTGCTCCAAGGAGTTCCTCGTTTCATCCATAACCTTCCCTCTTCAGGGCTGTTTTTATTTCCTGAGAGATCTAACAATATCAATGAATTGTAACTCAGCACATTACAGAATTATGCATTTCAGACACTTAGCAATTGAAACCATAATTTTTTCTATACTTGTCTGTGTATTATCACCAGACAATCATTTCTAGGTACATGAAATCTACTCTTTCTGTAAGACTGATGGACTGATCACTACCACAGTCTTTGTCTATGTGTATAATTTAAGAACAATAGACACTCCCCTGTAAATTAAGAGTGTAATTTATGTACACTTACTGAGGTCCATGTGGGTTTTTTATTCTTCAGTATCTAGATAAGAAAGCCCTACAAGTGAAAGCTTACACCTGCTCAGAGTATTCAGAGTTGACTATGCTCATCTTCAGAGGAAGAGGCATCTCTGACAGCAGGAATAGAAAAATTAAAAAATTTACAAACAAAATAAATTAGCCTGCATCTGACTGGAACAGCTTCAAGACCCATGCTGAGGATCCTCTGACAGATGAACTGTTCACAACCACCTAACTGATAAAACCCCAGCAGCATCTTTTACTTCAGTCAGCACATTGTCCTTGACCTCTGCTCCAAGATGGGCCAGCTTTGTGTTGCTTCAATAGCAGCACTTCACTGTTAGTTGATTCAGGCAACAGGGAATTCTCTCTGCCAAGGATAATCCAAAGGCTAGAGGCATTTCATTTCTGTAACTGTGCTATTAGGGCTTTTACACTCTCTTTTCTGTTCACAGCTCTGGGGCAAAAGTTAGAGGGGAAAAAAACAGAATAGCAAGAACCTTCTTCTATAAATCTACTTGTATCTCTTGAAATGGTGTCTTAGGTCACCAGCAGATCACTATAGCTCTGGGCAGCCCTTCTGCTTCTCCAGTTTGTACATGTGAAATGCAGGCGATTTATCAAATGGCTCAGATCTACCTCTGCCCTGCCTTTAGCTGGAAAACCTGCAAATAAAAAGTGATCTGCAGCACTATGTAAATACGTAAATAAAAATAATCAAGAGTTCTAGTTTTTAAAAAAGAATAAAATGGGGGTGTATTTTTAAGAATGGATTAATTTCAGAAGGGCTTTCAAGTTTTTGGATTTTGAGTGCACATTGTATGCCTAATTAAGAGTGCAAATTTGTAACATCCATTGTTATTCAAGCGTTCTTTTACCTGCTTTGTTTATTCCATGAAAGATCAAGCACAGCATCAGTATGTCCTTCCACAGTCCCTTCTGAAGATAAACTCTGTGTACGCACATACAACATAAACAGGCTTGAAAATTACAGCTTCAATGCAAACCAAGCATCACCCCACATTAGCAAGTGTTCCTAAATGTCTTCACCAACAATTTCATATTAAATTACTCTCACTTGCTGCAACACAGCTTTTGAGAGAACTGTCTCTGCACTGCCTGCACCTTGCCTCCTACCCCAGATCTCAGATTGCTCCATTCACAGCTGGTGGGGCTCACAGAACTGGTTACTCCCTTCAGGCTAGTAAAAGAAATCCCACTGTTTCCAGCTAACATGCAACTTCTTCAGCTTGTTTCTAAACACTCCTGGCAGCTCCCTCTCTCACCTCCCAATTAACTGAGCTTTAGGTCCTTGTAACTGCCAGCTCCTAGAATTCCAATTTCAAATGGTTAAGATTCAAAGCTTACTGGGACAGCAACTGGAAATCAACCATAAGCCACCCCACTTCTCTTCTGCTCTTAATTCCAGGCTTTAATTACTCAGAGAACAATTAGCATTTCAAATATTGTAGGAAAAAAAATATTGTAGGAAAAAAAATTCTCCCTGCCCTAAGTTTCCTCCATCCAAGCAGACAAATCATTTTACAATACTTACTTTCTTTCCTTTTTTTTTCTTCTTTTTCTCTTTCTTGCCTCCAAGAGAAAACACTGGTTCTAAGGATTCTACTACATCAAGGTCCCAAATGTCAATAACTGGAGTCATGTTACCCACTGCAACATAATTTCCTACAAGCAGAAACCCAAATGCAACCACATTTATTTAGAGTTATGAAATATCATATTTGGCAATCCAGCTGTTGCTTATTTCTTTGATTAAGTAAAACTTATGTGCCACAATCTTCTACTTGAACATATTTGATGTTTATAACTGACAAGGAGCAATTTAAAAATATCAGCTGACAGCAGATGTTGCCAGAAAAAAAATTTACTTGGTTTTCTTCCCCTTCAGTACAAGTAACTGATCAAAGAAGCTGTATAAAGTTCCATGTTTTGTTTGTTTTTAAAGGAAAAAACAAATCAAAACAAAACCACATCCCCTGTACTATGGAAAAAGAAAGTATCTGTAAAACACAGGAAAAAGGTTACTAAATACATAAATAAATATAAATTTTTCTGTAGTTTACAGTTAATCATTGCATTGGACATAATGAATTTAAGCAAAAGCAACCTTTCATTTGCAAATGGAATATAAAGCAGATTATATTATATAAAGAGAAGAGCTTGCTCTGGTCTGCTAATTGACAATAACTTAAATACTTTTATAAACCCAGTTTATTTGTAATAAACCCAGTATTTTAGTCAAATCACTTGTTACAGAAACATCACTAAAATGACTGTATCACCAAACCAAAACACTTGATATTCAGTTTGTCCTCCTTAACATCTTGGGTTTATTTCTGTTTATACTTCTGGAAGAAATTATCTAGTGACAACATTACATTTATATACTTTGCAAGTAAAAATTATTTAACTGGACATTTACAGTATTCTTTGTAATTTACCTGTTGATTCATCTGGATTAGGATCAAAATTCAACCACTCCAGACTTAGAGGGTAAGCAGGCAAGATAATATCATGATGTACATAAAATGAGTCCTCTTCATGATTATAAACTGAAAAATAATTAAAGTTAAACAAGACATCAGTGAAGAGGAAAAACAAACAACTATAAAACAGTTCACTTCTGCAAAAGGCAGATGTGGCAAAGACTAAATTGTAAAGGAGGTCTAGAATGTAAATTTGGAACGTGTTCAGAGTTTTAGCGTAGAGGCCAGACCCTCCAAGTATGAATCTTATACTTAACAAAATTACACAAAACAAACACTCTCCTGTGTAGATAAAGAAGTGACAAGTTCAGCAAAGGTGCAATACCTTATTCCTAGCACACCACACTACTTTATTTGTAAGATCACTTCAAAATAGATGCTCCATATCCAACACTTTTTACATCAGAACACATTAATGGAGATTTAGACATTCATGTTACAGAATTAGCAATTTAAAAAAAAATCATTCCAGATGAAATTTAAGTGGAAATGAAAGTAAAAGACAAACAGATTTTAAAGTAGAGGAAGCTTAAGAAGTCAGAAGAAGTTGCCTTTAGCGTGTTGTACTGAGATACAGGAAGAGTTTGAATAAAGCAACCATATACTAAACACAGTATTCCCTGTAGTCAGCTATTTTTCTCATAATAAAATAACTTACTAACTGGATAGCAAAGAAAAAACATTAATTATTTTAATAATATGTTACCATCACACACACAAAATTACTGTGCCGTTTTTAAGTGCATGTGACAGATGTTCAGATAACTAAAGTTTTCAGCTAACGAAGTTGTCTTAGTAGTTAACCAAGACAGGGTTACCCAATGTTAGAAACTGTAGAAACCCTTGCTATTGTTTTGTAAGTTTACATTGGGGAAAATGATAATAAAGATGCTGGTATCTGAAGAGATGCTGTCAAACATTTTGGTCATGTTCCTTGCTTAAAATGAAATACTTCGCTTGCAGAAACATGGACCATCACACAAATAGGCAGAACCACTCCCACAAAGAACCATGGTAAGAAAAGATGATAATTTCAGCACACTCAGTAGTACTTCTTGCTGCAACATGAAAACCTCTTACACAGTAAAATTAAACCTATTGCTAAAAAAAGTAGTATTCAGGCCATATTAAGGACCATCTCTTCTAAAACTATGACGATAAAGGTGTTGATTCCTCTAGTCCTAGGCTGTGGAAAGCCCATTTAAAGAAGCAAGGAGAAAGATGAAGGAAAAACCCCAACAAAATAACAAACTATTAGGGGATGCTTGCAGGATATGGAAAGTAAGACTGGAAGAAAGATTGTATGTTCAGAGAATAAAAATACCATAGTATTTTCTAAGTGTCATAAGAAATTAAATAAGGAAAAGAAATGCTATACAGCCTGAAAGAGACAAGCTATCCTCTAAATAACAATAACTCCACATGAAATATTCTAGTCCTGGAAAGTGGCTAAAGAACAAAACACAGAGCAGAAGGGGAGAAAAAACCTTACAAAAACCAACCCACTCCCTCTTTGACACAACCATATGGCACAGGCTAGGCAAGACATAGTCACTAAGTTCACTGTAAAGAACAAATCCTATTTTACTTACCATGGACCTCCAAACTACAGCAGTCTTTGTCAACTCTGCCACAAAGGACAAGATTGTCACTGGGCTTAATCAAAAAGTCCTCCTGTTCATATTGCTCCTGAACAGCAAAAAGGAGAGGACAAGGGGCATTAAGCAATGCACATAAATGCACAGAACTACGTACGTTCAAAAGGCTGAATCAATTAGCAATTTTTAACCATAACAGAAAACAGTCCAAATCCAACACCCCAATGCCCACCCACCTAAAACCATCTTACGGTGATAAACAGAGACAGGCAGGAACCAGACCCCGATCACAGGGAGACTGAATAGTCATTAAATAAATTGAAGGAATTTGTATGTGGATGTACCTGGATTTGTAAACACGTTTAATTACCAAATATGAAACCATATTTTAAGGCTATCATGATGCAGCCCACTGCTGAAAAGCACCACCAGGACATGCAAAGCAAACTTATTTCCCTCATGCTCCTGCTCCTTGACCATTTATATAGTATAACAGCATTTTACCCAATAAAGATACTGCAATTGCTCCTCACATCCAGGAAGAAATTCCAAGAGCATCAAAACACTGTCTACTTCCCGCAAAATATTTCCCAAAAAGTACTGCCTACAGCTCTACTGGGCATTCAGCTATACCAGAACAGATGCAACCTCTCATCTGACTTTCACTATTACTGAGGAATGAAAGATATTTGGGATTTTTTGTCAGTGAAAAACAAAGAACTGTACATAAGTCAATAGTCTCACAAGAGTACCATCTTTCAAATATACACCACATCCAAGACTTCTTGGGCTTCTCGTTGCAGGCTTTTAATTTCTTTTTTTTATTCACTTCAAGCATATTTCAATATTTGAATTCCATCAAGTCCTACAATTCTTTAACTTAATGTTACACAATACTTAGTCTTCAACAGTACTAGTAGTAAATACCAAAAGACAACACAAAATCCATGTTGAAGAACTTGCAGAATTTGAGGAAAGAACTTGAGCATAGGAAGAAAGGCCTAAGAAAAAGGTGTTCACTTACTGTATATCTGGAAAAAGTTAGCTATTCTGACACAGAATAAATGCAGATCATATTCTCTCTGAATCCCTGTGTGAATACCTCTTTGACTATAAAAATAAGTTTTAAAGCATTTCTCTCCTCCACTGATACACAGGAGCAAGAAAAATCATCCATGGAACACAGAGAAAACAAACAGTGCCCCAAAGTGCACACAGCAAGTGAACTCCTTTTAAAGATCAGGTTGGTGCCTTCCTCCCTGAGCTTTGTTACAGTATGTGAAGTCACCATAACAACTCCTTGTCATGTTTGATAGAGCTCCCTGACACAGAAACTAGACACTGTGGTGGAAGACTACACCTAATATTTTCTTTCAATCTTACTGTCTTTTGTAAAGAATCCAAAATACTGTAGCAAGGACAGCACCCAGAAAAATCTCAGAATCTTTATGCTTAGAAGATGTGACAAAAATTCACCTACTATCACCCTGCCCCAGATAACCACAGTTTCTGCTGGTTGCTCTCTGGATTGTCTCTTCTCACACAACCTCACCTTAGTTCTACCTGATTTCTGTAATCTTTCCATGTAAATTAAGTCAATCATAAACTGCAATCTAGCCTTCTGAACTAAACTGAGGGATATTCTCTGGAATCTCTCCATACCCCAGTATTTTAGCCAAGGCAATACCAATGTTAAGTAGAGTAGCAGGATTACCTTGTCTTACTTGCATCTTGTGCTGCATCCCTGTCCACCAGAAAAGGGCAAACAGCCACATAACAGAACAGCACTCTTGACACAACTTGTGTTAGGCTGCAGCCAGAGACTTCTTCACCCAGAGCAGAGCTCCTACACACCCAGCTCCTGCAAAAATGTTCCCCCTCTGACAGGTGGAAACTAACACAGGCAGAAGGAGTCAACAACACAGCACACTGTGCTTCTCTGTTTAACAGGGATGTATTTCCTCATGACATATCCCTAATTTGACACGTAGCCTGAGTCCACCTCAGCCCAATTTCTTACACAAACTGGTGGAAGGTGCAAGAGTCTTGCAGACTAGGAAATTTTCTAATTTGGGCCATTAGTGGCCTTAGATTTGTTATTTCTTCAAGCATTTTCTGTGTTCTACTAGATAGGTGAAAAACCACTCTGCATGGTTTAAATAATGAGCCAGTTCATTTAACCTCCTACTTAAATGCAAAAGGCACACAAAGAAGGGACTGCACAAAGCAACCTGGAAAAAAACAGTTCAGTCTGATAAAAAATCTGGCACACCTGTGAAAAAGGACTGCAAGCACTTACAGACCCTAAGGCAGTGTGGAAAATTCAACTGATTTTTAAGTTTATGCTGCTTAAGATATTAAACATTTTTTAAGTACTTACAGTGGTTTTCAGGGTGATGTAAGGATCATTATCATTACTCCCATATACTGCCAGAGTAGCCAAAGAGTCTCCAAGTTGTAAATCACCTAGATGGGAATTTCAGAACACTTTTAGACATGTTAGTGACAGGTGAAGTTAGAAATTCCTGTATTGATACCTGTATTACCTATATTGCAAAATATCAGGAGTGGGCTAAATGAACTTCCAAGTTTCAAACCCGAGTACCTTGGTAAGCTAAATTGCTTGGAGCTTTCAGGGACTTCTGCCGCTCTGCTCCAGCACTACAGCAGAGGGAGTGACAATCTTTCCAACATGCTCTCGTTTTACTGTCAGGAAGGGGGACAGTGAATTGCTTCCCTCACTAAATGACTTCTGAAGCTGGGACAAGCAAATTATTAAAAATGTGAATTTCCAGCATCTGAAACTTAACACTGTGTAGTTTTAGGATATTAAGGTCTTAAGTACAACAAGAAGTGGAAAGGTTCTTCACTCGCACTGCATATCTGATGTATAAATTTTTCTTACCTGTGTATTCCTCTTTATCGTAATTTTCCAAATCATATTCATCCAGTTCATGATCAGACAGGTCTTCATTGTTATGGGAAGACTGAGAGATGCCAGCAACAGCCACATTCGTGTCCCCTGCTGTCTGACCTTCATTGCTGCCACCAGCACCATCCCTGTGGAAAGACACACATCCCTGAGAAATTGTGACAGACATGTACAACACTTCCAGGTAACTATTTAGGGCACTGCTGTCAAGATTTCAGCACACAGTCCTAGCTGTTCACATGGGTTTCAAGTCTTTATGGCAATCATTTGGAAATCCATTCACTCCTTCCTGATCTTTTCCCAAAATACAAGGCACCGTTATTCTCAGGCTTCCAGAGAAAGTTTTTCATTGAAAGTTTTCATGACACAATGTGGCATGAATTTTGCTCAACAAACTAAACCATGTGTCCAAATCTGCTTCTCGTACACATTTCTTAACCTCACTTCTGTGCATTCACATGTCCAATCCATTCTTTCCTTCCCCCCCTCCAAGGCCTTGTCATGTGTGAGGACTCTTACATTTCTTAAAGATTTTTAAAACTTCATTTCCTCACACTTCCCATACTTACAATAGAAGAAAAAAAACCCAACATAAAATTCATTAGGTAGGGACATTTGTGGATTACTTCTTATGGGGTAAACTATGCAACTTGGAAACTTTATGGCAACAATTCTGTAAGCAAGAATTCATTCAGCAGAAGGAAATGTATACTAAACAATGGCTGAGAACATAACAGAGGTGTCCCAATGGAGCATGCTCCATAGAAACTCATCCCTGCTGAATATGCTGTATTTCTGTCCCTCTGCATGTAAAATTCCCAAGCAACAATAAGTCAAGGCAGTTCTCAGATACGATCCCTGAATTAAATACCTGAAACCTATTTTTCTAATTTGTTCAGTAAAATAAAACCTTCATATTAACAAGATAACTAGAGATAAGTAACAAGATAATTAGAAACCCTAAATCTCAGTTTGATTTGAGATCTCTGCACAGGAAAAAAAATTGAGGTGTTGTAACAAATTTTACGAAGTACCAGCAATTATAAATAGATTATAACACCTTTGGTTGTTTCAGATGGTCATTAAATTTCCATCCTGAAGTTTTACAGACTGTATAACAACCAGCACCTCAAATCTTTCCATGCTTTTGAAATTGCAAGAGAAAAGAAACCACTCAAAAAACCAAAAGTTCACACACATAAAGGGAAACAAGTAACACTACAGACAACAGAAACATTAAAACTTCATCAGTTAAGAAACTAACATAAAGTGAGAATCTTCCAAATGTTTAAGATGATTTTGGAACCATTAGAAAACAAAAACAGAACAAAACACATTCTGGGATGAGATACTATTCAGCAGTAAAGTCACTGATTGGTCCAAGAGAAATGGGGTGAATAATATTTGCCCAACCCTAAAAGTTTTTACAGTTCAATCACACACACCCTGGTACAACTACATACCCTACATAACTGAAACAGAATCAGAAACCCAAACCTACAGAGAACAATCTAACAGAGAAAGGCCAGAAAATAGAATAATACCTCAATCTTCTTCTAGACAAAAGAGAGCCATTTTTTTCTTGTCTTCCATAGGTTGTTTCATAGATATGTCACTTCTGTTATTTATTTTCATAAATACCTTTTCCTTAAAAGTAGAGTGACAAAACGCAACTACGCAACTAAGACCTTCCAGTGCTGAGAGTTGTGATGTCTCTAGGTTCATCTGCGAACCATAAACACACCCCTGAGTGATGTTCTGCCTTCTTTGCCACAGCATAAACACCACATCATTCTGAGCCCCACTGTGGTCTCCAGACTTCCTTAGATCGTCAAGTCACACCCTCAGCATCACTTTTTCACAGTCAGTTTGGGATTTCCATCTCGGTTTGCCACACCTCCAAAGCACCCATGGTTACAAACCCAACTTATTTTTCACTCCAGGCGGGAATGGCAGCTCCAAAGAGGACCAGGCCTCCAGAGAGGACCATCACGAGAAAAGCTCAGGGAGTCTGACAGCACCACAGCTGACAACTGAGGAACCACATGGGAACGCAGCCCACGCTGTCATGGCCACAACGACTGAAAGATACACTTAAAGAACCACAGGATATTCTGAGCTGGAGGGGACCCACAAGATCATGGAGCGCAACTCTGAAGTGAGTGGCCCATACGGATATCGAGCCCACAGCTTCGGCATTATCAGCACCGCGCTCCGACGAGCTGAGCTAATCTCAGGGGAATTCCATCTCCGCACCGCCGCCCCTCCGGGGACGTCAGGCTCCCTTGGCACAGCGCTCCAGGAGGAACTCGTGCTGGCTGGTGCCGTCTCCACTCCTCGCTGCTGCTTCCCAAGCCGGCCCTCCAGGAGCTCCCCGGGCTGCGGGCGGGGCTGCCCGCGCTCTCCAACCCCGCACCCAGTAGAGGCCCTCCCGCCGCCCCGGCTCACCCTAGCCTGTCCTGCGCTTCCTCGATGAGACCCTTCAGCTCCTCCTCGCTGAGCTGCACCTGCGGGGCGGACACAGAGAGGGGTGAGGGCGGCGGCAGGGGGGGCGGACGGGGGTCCCCCGGCCCAGCCCAGCCCCGGCCGTACCTTGTCGGGGGTCTCCTTGGCCACGCCGCGCCGCACCCAGGCGGCGCAGGGCACCGGGCAGCTCATGGCGGAACCGCCGCCACGTGCGAGCGGGCCCGGCGCGCACCACTGACGTCATGAGGGGAGAGGGTCCGCCCGCAACGGCGAGGAACGGCGGGGGGCGGAGACAACGGGGTAGCGTCATCTTAGAGCGACGAGACAGACAGGGGAGGGAGGGGCTACAAGGGAGGAGGCGGGGCTTGCCCGGGGGAGGGGCTTGCGCGGGCGGGGCGGGGCGCGGTCCCTTCAGGGCGTCGTCGCGCTGTCCTGGGGACAAGGCGGGGTACACGGCCCCGTCTCCAGAGTTTTCACAGAATCACAGTCTCAGTTAGGTTGGAAACGACCTCCAAGATCATCGAGTCCAACCTTCCAGTCCTTCGCTTCCCACACTGGTTCGCGGCTTCCCCTCGCTTACTGGGAGAGACCTGCCCCGCCTGATATTCGCTTCCACTGAAATAACCTACCGAAGTGAGAAGTTTAGAAAGACCTTTTTTGTTACCGATCTCTAAAGTTTATCCAAGGGAAAGAAGCCAGCGCGCAGTCAGGAGCAGCAGAGAGGTGCAGGAAGTTGGGAGGGACTGGCGTCGGCACAGGAGCAGCTGCTTTTTGCCCTCCCAAGTGTCAGCGTCCTGTACCAGCTAACTCCTTAAATCAGGGCAATAGGATAAAATGCCAGCTGGATTGTACAGGAAGGTACTCTCTTACTAACGTGCAGAAATCTCTGCTGTTTCCATCACCGAAATCTTAATTCAGGGGGTAACTGTAAAGTACACGGACGGGAAGTGGGGTTGGGCGAAGGAGGGTTTCCCAGGGTAAAGCTCAGGGACTTGGCAACCAAACTGCAGCTTGGCAGGCACAGTGGCCACATTATTTCATCCACATGTCACTAGACGACACCAGAGTAGCATTTTCATTTTTTTTTACCCTGACTCTTCTGTGGTTGTGGCATGACAAATAAACATCTATCAAAATATTACTACTTCTTCACTACCCTGTTCTTTTCACCCATATGCAGTGTTTTATCTTAAAACAGACATAAACATACCAAGGCAAGAGTTGTGTCTTTCCAGCTCTTCCCTGGGGCATGGGCACCCAATCCTACCTGGGATCTAGGTAATTAATGATCTTGCATTTTTGTGTGCTTGCCTTTTTGCTGGGCTGTTATTTGCTTTGCTGGTCACCTTCTCTTACAGTGTTCAAGAAATCCTTCTTGTCCTCCCATGCATGAATTGGCTACAGTTTGACTGTCAATCTTCCTCCGAATTCTGAGGGAATTTTTGTGAAAGCAGATGCTACTCTCAAAGGTTAGAAAGAGGGGAGTATTATCCAGCCAAGAGGAAGAAAGCAAGGTTACTTTCCAGTGCCTGTGGTTCCTGGATATGTCTTGGGAGTTTTTGTTTTGTTTTGTTTTCCAGATATATACATTTACAGTGTGGAGGTTCGCAGAGCAAACAGCTGAGCCAGACTTGCTTTTACTGAAGCAATATCCAGAGGGGGCACACATGCTCTACCTTCCCTCCCACTGTGTACATAATCACAAAATAGCAGTGTATTGTGGTGCGGCTCAACAGCAGAAGTACCAAAAAAAAAAAAAAAGAGATGGAAAAGGAGGAAGGAAGGAAAGAAAAAATAGGTAGCAATTGTGCACGATGGATATTATAGCTTAGAGAACTGCAGTTAGTAGCAAAAATTTTTTTCCTTTTGAGACCCAGTCCATAAATGCTGGGCAATCCCAATACTTCTCTTCATCTTACGTGCTGGGGATGCACAGCTGGGTCTTCTTAAAAGAAAGACCATTCTATTAAATAAATTAGTGTTCCGTGGTGCCTTGGCAATCACAGACATGCAGCTGAAAGAGTGGTGCCTCAGGCAGGAAGCTCCCTGCAGACACCTGAGATAGTAACCGAGATCTAGTGCACTCCAGCCCACTCACACCAAGGAATTGGATGGCCCATAGGTCATAACACACCAATAAAAAATGGCCTTCTTCATATTTAGTGTCCAATGATGACTCAGCCACAGAGGTGTGAAGATTAGCAAATAAAGCAGATGTTAATTTCTTAGTTTGGATGGAATCGTGACACAATCATTGGAGGAATTTTGGGACAAGCCCAAAGATCTGTCCTAATTAGGAATGAGGCTGTATAGCTGACAGAAGTCTCTCTGAATCTCTGCTAGGTCGAAGAAATGGCCATGAACAAATGTATCTGCAACAGGAGACAAGGACTCAAATGGCTGTCCTGGGAAGGGTGTGAGGACCAAGGTCAGATCCAGTGGAAATATAAAGGTCTTTGACCAGAAGAATTGTCATCAAACATTTTAATGACACAGCTTGTTCTGGACTGGCCCTGGGCCTTTCCTAAAAGTGATCTTCTAAAACCTAAAAGGATTCATTTCCACTCCCCTGGCCCAGATCAGAGATAAGACACAGGAGGGCTTGAATCTCTTAGACCTGATTCTTATCCTCTGATTAGGAGAGCTGAGTTTCTTTTTATTCCACTGAATATCTGCAAATTAAGTCAACACTTAACAGTAGCAGTTTTCATTGTTTCAGTTTAGTCACTGATTCTGGTATCAGAAACTTCTGCTTGTCTGAAAGGAAAAGCACTAAAACTTGTCCCTCTTTCTGGATTTATATTTGACCCATCCTGACCTACTGCTATTTACCTGAGGATGCAAGTGCTGGATAGTTCTCATCAGCAGGAAGCATGTGCCTGAATCATCTTGTTCAAGGTGTTGCCATAAACATTCAGAAAGGTTCAGCTGAATTAAATTTCCTAGCTAAGCAGAGCAAACTTTTGTTCTGGAGTGGATTTACCAGGTAAATAAAAGGGGATCAGTGAAAAAAGTCAGTAGGTCCTCCAAAGGGAACGTCCAGCTTCTTTTTTAGGGGACATGTGGAGGTGCCCAGAGAGCACTTACAGTATTCCTCTTCACATTAAGTCAGGATGGAAGACAGAAGATAGCTGTTTGATAAAGGAGTGATGTTGAAGCAGCTGGTTCCAGCAGGCTCTCCAACAACTATTGGAAAACCTGAAGAGCTCCCAAGGCTCTGCAGGGACCTTGATATACCTTGAATCACAAAACTGTCACAGACACCGTAAACATTTCTAGTATGACACCTGGAAGGTATTGCAAGGCCATGAAAAGATTCATACTGCAAATCATACAGGCTGTAAACAAGAAAAGAAAGGGAATTTTATGTGTTTTGAGAGAAGTTATGCTGTAGGTTTATGGCTGTGGTTCAGCTGACCTCTACAGATGAGAAAATGGGGAAAGTGACCAATACACTAGTATGGCATCTCACTCAATTTTTTTCCTGTTTTCTCAAATAAGCTGTAAAATACCAGTGTTGCAGTCCCAGAGATGCTAAACAGCTAAAACCAAAGTCACATAATCAAGAAATCCTCTAACTTATGAAAGAAAAAAAGGAGTACTTAAGAGTGACTTTGAAACACCAATGGCAGACATCTAAGTCCTCAAGGTTACCTTTTGATTTTCTATTTGCATTCCCTGGGTGTTTCTGTGAAACACAGAGAATGAATAGTGGGAGGAAACCAAAGAAATATCAGATCTCAGTAGGGCAGCATCTCGTCAAGGGAGATGGCATACCCTGTTTGCACACAGCAACATAGCCTGGAGGGAAGAACTCTTGAACTCATAGCTAGGCAGAAAGTTAAGTTTTCAGGTAGTTAAAACAAGGCTGCTTTGTTTTTTTTTCATCCATGATCTCCTTAAGGAGTTCTCTGGGAGAGCACAAACCTCCTCACTTTGAAAGATAAAACACCTTTGCACTAAAGCTTATTCTCCCAGATCTATCTTATTACTTTTAGTGCTCTTTGCTTAATACAGAATTAAATAGGTCTGTCACTTATCTTTTAGCTATGTCTAGTAATAAGTGTGATCTCAATGTGAACCAGATATAAGTGAAAAACATTAAAACCTTCTTGGGATACAGTAAAAATTGGGATACAGTAAATGTATCATCAGGGCAGAGAGGTGTGCTTTTAGAGCAGCTGCTTCCCTAGAATGTGTGCTAAGAGCTTGAGAGAGAGGATGCCACCATCCCTGCAATGATTGCTGTCAAGACAGTGTAGGAAGGGAAAGAAATATTGTCAGTGCCCTCTCAGCAAGCTGGAGAAAAGATGGCTGGATACGGAGAATAGCTGCATTTACCACATACAGCCAATAGAGAAAATAACTTTAAAAGCATTGGTCTACCAGGGCCCAGGAGTAGAGTCAAAAGGAAAAGAGGTGTGTGGGAGACGAAGAACCAAGATGCACATGAAGGTAGAACACAGACAAGGATCTAGCAAGCCATTCTTGGCCAGGTTATAAAGAGAAAATGAAGGAAGTCAAAAAGAAGCACAGAATGATATAAAGTGCCTGAGGATTTACTAGTAAAGGAAAGTCAGTAAATATATGGGTATAGGAAAAAAAACCCCCACAAGTGGCAGCGCTCCACATGCTGGAACTCAGCCAAGTGATGTGAGTTCTGCCCCATAACATCATTCTCACATCAGGTGGGAAGTGGGGTCTGTGTGCATTCCCCAGACATCCCTATACCCTCCAGCTCCAGGCTTTGCCAACCAGGGGTTCACAGTGTCAGCCTACACTTGGGTGAGCACCGGGAGAAGCAGCTCATGCAGCAGGGCTACATTGTGCCTCTGAGGGCAGATGGACACCTCAAAATACCTGAGACTCTCCCTTCTCCAGCACCATGGGAGCCATGGGGGACATTAGGGCCAGGATTTGTCTCAATGGCAGCACATCTTTATTTCCTCCATGTGTGAGTGTATTGCTCAATATTGGTTGCTTCAAATATTCCTTATTCCAGGAGGAGATTACCACTTACAAAAGACACTGGCTTGTAGAGCAGAGGGGCTGATAAGCTCTAGGAAGGTAGCCAGGCTGTAGGGTCATGCTGGGTATGGCGGCCTGCAAGGATACGTGCCCAAGTTCTCAGACATCCTGCACCTTGCAGTCTTACATCTGCATAGCAAAGCTTAGAGATAGCCAGCCCACAGGCCTACTCTGGAACAACACTTTCCTTGAAAGACTC